TTTAGTTGACCAGGTAAAACAATTAGGAAGCATTTCAATTCTGCACTGTTGACAATAAGACGGTAACATGCTTTTGCAGAACAAACACATCATTGGCCGTCAATATTCCATGGTGTTTAAAACATTCTGATCATGTCATATACAAAGAACCGACAGTTTTCTTTCTTGTAAGATCATCTCGGAGACTCTACAAATCAAACTACTCATAAGGAACATTGTGAATACTGACCATCATAGAATCTGTTATAAAAAAATCCAATTAACACTTTATTTATATGACCAAAACATAAAGACAGTCATTTCCTTATTCAATACTTGAATACCCATTACATGGACAATTTGTGCTAACTTCATTATCTGAAATACTTCTGCTGCTCATATGATATGCATTACGTACCACAACAAGAACAAGAGCAGTCTAATACGTATTGAACTCTACTACGACTACTATCACTATCAACACTGGTCATTCATCTCTCACATGTTGACACTATCCAAGTAGCAGAGTGATGCCTATACAAGTCAATGTGTATTTGCGTGTTTGTGTTGTAGGTGAGCGCAATCACTCAATGACTACATTCAATCATAAAAACAATTTCACAATCTCTAAATAAATCTGATCATTTTTGTGAATGTTTAGCCAAATATTATTCTCAACAAAATACATGAACAGAAATCAGGTTATATATTTGAATGAACGATTGATTGTCTACATTTGCGAAGATTATTTATTCACCCGATCATGCATATCGATCTGAATAGTCTTACATTTGAACGTGTATTGTGTGGAGAAAATTGAATGACGTGTGAACGTTTTCATTAAATATTCAGCTTAATAAATAACGTGTTTTGAAGTGAAGAAATAAGATTTTGTATTTTTATTGAATTTGTGAGCTGAGCAATTTTCATTTGATTAAATACTTAAATAAAGAGTGTACACGATGAGAAATCAACTGTAATTGTGATGATAAGTATTGCTTGTTTGTCAGTGATGTCAATCTATGTTTAACATCTTTTTTTTTGAGTGAGGCAAAATTACTCTGTGCATGTATAAAGGTGAAAGGTGTACATTTTCTGTTAGTTGATTAGTAAATAATGAATATCAAGATGAATTTCTGCAATTGACGGCAACATTTTTGTCTGTTCGAACAAGACAGAATCAAAATACGTCAATTGACACGCAGCGAATTTCACAGAATGTGAATATATATGTTGTATAGTTTCATATGTATGAATAAGTATGCGTGGAAATATCATGTGTGTGATGTTTGTGTTGAATGTTGACTGTATTGTACACGCATTACATCGAGTAATACTATGTTTCTAGTATGACATGTTCACGCTCATTTCATGATTTTCGACTGTCATTATGATCTTTCCATTGCTGGCTACCATAGTACACGTAGACGAAGTTGGCTGATTTTGATGGCTCATACAACACTCAACACTATTACTCACTCAAATGCGACATTGCTCACAGTCAAAGAGTTTCGACGTTGTTGAGTGTAAGATTCCTACTTAAGTGTCTAAAATGTTGGCACTTTTCTAACCATCTTGATGATTCGCATCTGACTGACGGTGCAGTTATTGTTGCACACTTACTTGTACAATAAGTACCAACTGTCAACACAAGCGAACAAGCCATTCTTATCATCACATCCACAACTGATTTCTCATTGTGTATTCTCTTTATTTAAGTATTTAATCGGATTAGAATAATTATTCAACTCACAATTTTAATAAAACAAAATCTCATTTCTCCATTTCAAAACACGTTATTTGATAAGCTAATAATGCGTTGAAAACGTTCACACATCATTCAATTTGCCACACAATACACGTTCAAATATAAGAGAATTTCATAGATATGCAATGTCGCATAAATGAACAATTCCCGAAATGTAAATCATCAAACCATCTTTCATTCAAATAATCGGATTTGCGTTTATTAGTTTTGTGTGAATAATATTTGACAAAGCCTTCACACAAAAATGATCACTATATTTTGGGACACAGTTCTGGAGGTTTGCGATTTTTTACACATTTGAAATCATCAAGCTTCGTGAGTAATCTTCTCCGAGTTCTGTTGGAATGACGTGACCAGTGAAGTTCAATCTTTTCGGGTGTGGACAGTGTCTACCGAAGACTGTGTATGAGGTTGCGCAACTCCGTGAATTTGATCAAGTTAGACAATAACACCGTCAGATACCGGCCACATCAAAAATCGTCAATAGCAGTAGTGCATTAACTTTTCTCTACAAATAATTCATACATTGTCACTATCTATAAGACTTCATCTATCAGAATTCACATTTATCAGTCTAGTTGCTTTCAAACTTTTGCCTTCACTTCACATCATTGAGATGGTGAAATGCTGACGAATTCACTGCGCATTATTTTTACATGATCGGCATCAATGAAAATATGTGAACAACAAGAGCAGTGTCTTGTTACATCAAACTAATTCTCTCCATTGAATGTGAGTACATGTGTGAAACAATCGTAATTAATCAGGTCATATTCACGTATAATAACATAAGAACTAATTAGATTTTAGGTATGCGTGATGTACAGATGTTAACCTAATGCCATATGACCGTGATATACTCAAGTCATAAAGTGTGTGAAATGAACAGTTGAATTTGGAACAGAAACACGCTTTCATTTAATTATTAACTTATTTCAGCTCTTCATGTTGCACGGTGATCTGAGAGATTGTCAGGTAACACGTGTACCAACATTGGCACAATAGTTGTGTATCTCTCATTAAATCTAGTTATAACTACAGTTAATCAGTTGTGCAGGCGCGTATCGGCAAAGCAATGGCTGCATTTCTACAGTTGAAAAATATCTGCAACTCAAGAAAACTATCTATCAACACCAAAATCAGGATTTTCAATACAAATGTCAAGACAGTTCTAGTTTATGGGGCGGAACTACGAATGCCATCATCCAGAAGATACAAGTATTCATTAACATTTGTCTACACAAAATACTTTGGATCCATTGGACAGTCAACATCATCTACAGCCTACTGTGGGAGAGAACAAACCAGATTCCACCAGAGGAGGAAATCAGAAAGAGGCGCAGGGAATGGATAAGACACAAACTGCTAATAGCACCCAACTGCATCTCAAGTGAAGCCCTCACACTTGGAACCCTCATAGTCGAAGGAAAAGAGGAATGCCAATGAACAAATTACACTGAGAAATGTAGAAAGATATGAGAAGAATAAACAAAAATTGTGTAAAACTGGAAAGGGAATCTCAGATCACTGTAGGTTGGAGAATGCTGATCGGGGGCCTATGCTTATTGGAAGTAACAGACTTAGGTAACTAAGTAAGCAAAATCATTCGATCAACAACCAGACATTATGATGATGGCAGGTAATTTTAATTTAAATGATTGCATGAACGTTAACTTTTTATTACACATATAGTTAGTGTTGCAAATTACATCAGTCATACTTTAGTTGATGAAAATATGAAGTAGCACTAAACATATCAGTGATGCACATTGATCAGTCTAATCAGCTGAAACGTAGCATTACTTGCATGACTGGATGACTCGGAAGTGAACTGTCGCAAATGGCAATGTATATCAATCTACTTTATTTAAAAAATCACCACGATCTCTACTATTGCTAGTATTACTACTGACAATAATATTACCCCTGGTATTATTAGTAGTATGACAACTCCTACTACAACTAATATCGCTACCAATCCAACCACCAATAGAACTTAATAATAATGAGCTTAACACTGAAAGTGTGATGATTAAAGACAAACGTTGAATTGCCAGATGCGTGCCCAGTCACCGTTTGAAAGCATCTCCAGTATAGTTTATTCTAACTAATGGCTAAAGTCGATTTTATACAACAAAACACACATCAAAACAACTATTTCGGTTCATCTTAGGAGACAGAAAACATATCCCGCTTCACAGACATTCGCTTCCTAACATTGCTACCCATTCAACATATTCACAATCTCTTATACTGGTTATCAAAATGAGACAATTGGCTCAATCAAAAACCCGACGAATTCCAACACCTGTATACACATGTGAACCACACAAGTAAACTCATGTACAATCGAGTCAATATACTAGTATGTTGTAATAACGAAAACTGATGTCTATGTGGGGAAGAATACAACTGTTTACAGATTCATTTATTCTGAAATAGACACACAAACATACATCATATATTGTACAACGTGAAAATAGTGAATGAGTGCATGTATGAGGGACTAATCAGCAGACTATTTGTGGTTCACTTTGAGTCCACGATCGCCACATTTCCAATTCACTGGACATACTTCACCATGCTTTTCTACAAATTGAAATGCATCCAGTAATCGTAATGTTTCATCTACAGATCGTCCAACTGGTTTGTCGTTGATGGTGATTTGACGTAGAATTCCTTTCGGATCGATAATGAATATACCTCTGAAAAGGAAGATGAATTGAAGAAGATGAAGAAAAGATGACGATCAGAAATACAAATGAACCAGTGCCTTCGTTTTAGTAGATGCTGACAATTTGTGAGGTAATTTAACCCAGTGTTCAGATCCAGTAATACGAATAAGTGTAGAGCGATACTAGTCACAGAGTCAGTTCATACTCAGTCAGTTTCAGTTTCCGAAGCGTTCTTACCATGAAATTCGATGTGTCGAATTTCAGAACGCTTTAGGTCTGATGCAACTGTCATCATATCTCATCATAACAATCAGCGGAATGTCTCCTAACACCATAAACACCATTTAATGCACAACCAAAATGAAAATTAGAAACCATTTCAACATTCTACTGATAAGTTATTTTAAAAAGAAGGTTGGCTCTTATCACAAGTACTTCAGGTTCCCACTCCAAACTCACAGCTAAACACAACTCATCGCATATCTTCATCCATTTCTCTCACAACACACAACATCAATCAACATTGAGGCGAATTTCACATGCCCAATCACACAAAAACACTGAAACACATCACTCACCTGAATGCATTGCCATCATCTTCATCCAAAACACCATACGCTCTCGATATCTCACCTGTACGATCAGCCAACAATGGAATTCTCATCTGACCCAATCCACCTGATTTACGATCCTGATTATTCCATGCAAGATGACTGTATTTGGAATCAGTGGAACAAGCAATCACTTGACAATTGCGACTCTTGAACTCTTCAACTTGATCACTGAATGCAATGATCTCTGTGGGACAGACGAATGAGCTGTAGAGGAAATATGAGTAGGTAAATCAGTGGAATATTGAAGTGATGTGCATTTCTACGTGTTCAAATCAGATACAACTTGTCAGTAGTTAGTTACTTTTATTCGCCATAAACATCATACCTAGAAAGTCAGTGAGTTAGTTAGCCAGATGTGCATCAGTTCGGCAACAAGGAGCACATCTTCATTCTGTGCTATCCATCACGTGAACGGTACTGCTGTGCAGCCTAGACACTCAGTCAGTCAGTTTGGATTTCAAGTGACACAATGCCGTCAAATGAGCACGTTCAAATACAGAATCACTAATATCAAAATCACAAAGATCGTCACTAAACAGAGAGAGGATGAACAGACGATCTAACCACTTCTACACCTAACCTCAGAATAATTATCTCACGATTTCAATAGATATCAAGATTCATAGATACGTCCAACACACAGACATCGACAATAAATTCACATTTGTTCAACCAGCTGAACAAACATAGCGGATATGGAAATGCATATACCTTAAATGAAAAAGGATGAACGAATTCTAACACTCAGCATATATACAATTCAAACAATCACAACTCACAAATCAGCTGGATAGAAGAATAATACTACATATTTTCCTGAATAATCCTTCAAACTGATCTCTTTGAATTCACCATCAATCACTGCATCTCCTTTGAATTGTGGTGCAGGTTTATTCGGTAACAACACCATGATCAGTGCTCACTGATTGATTGACTGATTGATTGAGCTGAGAGTGAGTGAGTGAGTTGACTGACAGTGATAACTCGATTCATGTGTTGCATGTTTATATATATGTTGAGCAGCACCTCGACCTTGAAGCTGATTGGTAGTCATTTTCACACTCGGTCGATTTGGTAGATTTGGTGAACTGAAATATCGGTCACACGACTGCATCGTGGTTAGTCATCCATATTCTTGCAAGACGTGTAATTGTGAATAGTTCAGTTGACGTTCGATTGCCTACTAGCACGTACGAAATGATTACACACGTGTTGTGGTTGAATTTCATATGAACTAATATCATATACGATGAATGGATGTTAATTGCAGAGGTTGAATCACGTTTAGTTTGATCGGAGGTGAATCGAAGAACGTAAACATTGGAAAGAACTGAATGACTTCATTGGTGCTGATCGATTTTCATACTTTAAATTTAGCGCGAATGAGATGAGAACGAAACTTTGACAATTCTTTCAATTATCTGATGAACTATCCTGACACTTTGACGGTTTCATACAACTCACTTTAATTGGAGCTACCACGATTTTGTCATTTGTCTTGAATTACATCAAGACTACTGTTTATTAGGAAATTCAATTCATGAATATTCAGAACTTAACTAAGATCCACGTAGGATATCGCTGCATGTATTACCTAATGAATAGTTCGATCGATTGGATAAAGTTGACCATATTCTATGGTGAAGTAACAAGTGGTCCGCGATTGTCGATTGATATCCTTCAGTTTGATTAGATTATTAGTAAGTGTGACACAGTGAGTGTTATAAACCTATGAGCGATCACAACTCGTTACAGGTAGACGATGGTAATTACCTTAAAAATAATTAATGTACAGCTATTTATAGGCTCATTACATATCTGAAGAAATTCATAACAACTGTAAACATATTCACTGCTGATGAATCCCATACGAGGACGAAACGGCCGTCTTGCAGTGCTTCCAGGTTTCTAGTGGTGGTCTAACAATTATTGATTGGTGATTTCAAATGTGTTAAAAACACAACACTTCCAAAACTCTGCCCGAAAATATCGTAACGGTGCTCACTAGTGACTAGCTTCGTGAGGAAATTCTCGCATTTCTAGTTGAGAAGACGTGACTAATGGAGTTCAACCCTGTCGGGTGTAGGCAGTAACTACCAAAGACAAATGGGTGCGGTCGCGCAAAAGTCCCTAGATCAATCAGAGTAAGACATTAACACCTTTGGATGCCGGCCCAGTGGTCCGATGTTTAGGTGTTCGCGCACAATACAGAATGTCCCGGATTCGAATTCTTCGAGGTGCAGAAGTCGTGCATGCTCACTGCCACTGATGAGTCCCATTGTGGGACGAAACGGCCGTCTAGTGCTTCCAGGTTTCCCTAATGGTGATCTAACAATGATTGACTGATGATTTCATATGTGTAAAAACACAAAACCTCCAAAACTCTGCTTCAAAAATATTCACTTTTGAACAAAACAATCATAACGATTAAATGTTTATAAATATGAATAAACATGTATTTTGCGCTCAAATGAAACTAGATATTATTTAAAAAATTGTGTTTGAATGAAGGAGAATGGTGTACATTTGTACATTTGTTTGTAAATAATCAACTTGAAAGTGTATTTTTGCATCGGATGAATACATTTTTGAATTTTCAATAGATTAGAATCAAAAATACCGCAAAACACATCACATTATCCCACTGACAAACAGCAAACTTCACTGGGTGTGAACATATATGTTGCGTATTGTCACATGTATGTATAAGTAGGAGTGAAATTGTCATGTTTGTGTTGAATGGTGACTGTCCTGTTATTGATTATGAACAAGCCATTCACTTCTATCATGATATGATATGCTAGTCGATTGTCACCCCGTAGCACACTACTGATAAGTCTCGTTGAGAGTAGTATCCACAGTAGTGGTAGTAGTAGTGATAGTGTAGTGAAGGAGAACACAGTTGGGGCAACAGAATTGTATTTAACGAAAATTACAGAGTTAATCAGTAAAATCGTTAATTTGCAAAATATCAGTTCATCATATCGAACTGGACTGTTCCTGTTGCAAAACATCAATCCATTGTCACTATTCATGCTATTTCATACAAATTCCATTGTGTTCTAACTCTTCCTTTCTTGATCTTCCCCCATCTTCTGCTGCCAGACATTACGTTGACACTCACGTCATATACTACTTATAAGTAGCTCACACCACAGTAGTAGTAGTGTAAATCAGGTTATTTGAATGCTAGACTGATAGTTTACATTTCCACAAATATTCATTCAATCATTCAATACTGCGTGTCGATGAAATACTGTTACATTTGAACGTGTATTGTGTGGCATGTGTAATGACGTGTGGAGATTTTCACCATGTTTTCAGCTTAACAAATAACGTGTTTTGAAGTGGAGAAATTAGATTTAGTTACCATTGATTTCGTCAGCCGAGTAATTCTCATGTGAATAAGTATTGAAATAAAGCGAGTACACGATACATCAGAATAGCAGCTACGTTATTGACCATGGGGAATTGAAAAGCCTCTTTTATGTGTACAGAAACTATTTGTGTGCACCGGTAATATTCAAGAGCTGTATAATTTCCTCCGGTATTGTGACAATTGCTTACACTTTCTTACTGCTTTAATATTATATTCATATCCTCCCTTCTTTAATTAAATGTTCTCATCATATATTTTTAATACAACATTTAATTCATTACATTTTTGAAACCATGAATGTTAGACCACCATTAGGAACCCACAAGCACTGGACGGCCGTTTAGTCCTGGTATGGGACTCCTTAGCAGTGCGCATCCACGACTCCTTCACCCCGCAGCATTCGAACCCAGGACCTTCGGTATTGTCCGCGAACGACCTAACCGTTAGACCACTGAGCTGGTATCTGACGGTGTTAATGTCTAACTTGATCAAATTCACGGAGTTGCGCAACCTCATACACAGTCTTCGGTAGACACTGCCTACACCCGAACAGGTTGAACTTCACTGGTCACGTCTTTCCACTAGAACTCGGAGAAGATTCCTCACGAAGCTAGTCGTCACTAGTGAGCACAGGTAATTTGCATTACGGGGTTGTGAAGATTGTTAAGTTACACATTTTTGAAACCATGAATCGACCAATGTTAGACCTCCATCAGAAACTGGACGGCCATCTCCTCCTGGTATGGGACTCATCGGCAGTGCGCATCCACGACTCCTGCACCCCGCAGGATTCGAACCCAGGGCCTTCGGTATTGTGCGCGAACGCCCTAACCGTTAGACTACTGAGCCGGTATTCACTGACCTATTATTAATTTCAAACAAAATGACTCATTTATTTGAAATGTCTGACGCAAATACATCATCATATTTTACAGTCAGTCATCAGATTCACTCAACTCAACATATATCACACTTGATATCAATTTAAACTGAATATTAGTCAGTCTATTGAACACATTGTCTACATTCTTTCTATATCGTTATTGCCTTGTTGCCTGAACTATTCATGAAACACAGAATATGGTGATCTGTAGATTTTTGAACATAGATATCACATTCATTGATGACACACTGGAGTAAGTAATAGTGTTAAGTGTTATATAAGCCATTAAAATCGTCTGATCTGTTTAATATGTACTCTAGTAGGCAGCTATGAAAGTAGCATGACGACAAGTGAGGATCATGAACGAGCCTTAACGTATCATATACTAGAAACATAGTAATTCTCGATATAATCCACGCACAATGTAGTCACTAATTACCACAGACAACACAGATATAAAAATGTATTTTATCAAATATAGAAATACACTTTGATATGTATTATTTACAAACCAGTCGACTGTGTCACAGCTTCGATCGTACACCGGTGAAATTGTATTTATTCGTCTTTTGTCTATTTCATGAAAACTTTATGGTAGAATTTGATTGTAGACTACAAGAAGTGGTGATTTCACTGTGAACATTGCCGGTGACAGAAATTTCCTTAGTGAAACTTACTTTGTCATACTAGTTAACATAAGTGTTTTGACTGAAGATGTACTTCGTCTGAACATTGTAAAATAGATATATGAGCCAGACATTTCGAACAATCTACGTACAGCTATCTTTATGAAGACATTATGTTTGAAATCATTAATAAATCAAAAAATTAACATTTCCATTAATTAGATAGTGAGAATTTTAAATGAAGCCAAGAGAGAATTAACGTGATATTGAAACAATAAGAAAGGATAGGAAATGGTCATATTACTCAAGTAATTTGTACAGTTTGAATATGACCAGTTTAAACAAATAGTTTCGATACGTATAAGTGTACTGCCTCCACATATATTCGAGTTCGTTTACATCTAACTTGGTTAAGTCCTTTCGATTAATTTATTTAATCAAGCCATTGGCATAGCAATAACTTATATGTACCATTCGTTCTTATTATTGTCTGGTTTGTATGATGAGCTCACATGGCGTGTCCCACTTGTCATCTGATCTTGTCAACTATTCGCCGCTTTTAATCATGTATGCCTATTTCGCTTGTCACATGTCTATCTTATATTTGTCTGACTATATACTCTTAGTCACTCTCTGTCTCTGGGAGCCTTCTCCAATTCACGTCGCTTCATTCGTTCTATTCACTGCTTCTCCGATTCACTTTATGGTGTGTCAAAAATAAACGTATTCAACACTTCGAGTTCACCTTCTGATTTATAAACCGTCAGACACTGGTGAGTATCGATTGTCTAGACGAGCTAATTACCGAGCTTAAGAACACACGCAGTAAATCGACACACTCCATAGGAATGATATCAATTTACAAATATTGAAGCAATTTTATGACCTTAACACAGTCTCACAGATGATCTATGTTTGCGAAACATCAACATGATGAATAATACAAAACAACTTTAGGAGTTGGTCAAGAAATAACTAAACGAACAGTTAACATTTGCTATCAAGGACTTAAAAATATCTAA